AAGAGAATTTACATTGTCGTCGAGCTTAGCAAAGATGCTCCGCGGATTTACGCTTTAGCTGTCAATGCTGTTGTGTTGTTTCATCATAATGATTTGTGTTTAACAGATCTTAAGCACCAGAGTAACCCAGATTTATAATCCGGTTTGACCGTTAAAAGTGGTACTCCAGATTGCTATTATACAAAGCTCACTGCTGCGGCATGTTCCAACTAGAACTTTTCTTTGATTAATTGTTCCACATGTCCTGTCGTTTTTGCGTCTGATATTTTCATGATTATGTTAAATAAAAGGACATGCATTATTTACCCTGACATGCACTGAGCAGCCTGTGCCCAATGATAATGTGAATCTTGAGAATCGATAAATTATGTGAATATTCTTTGATTATGCAGGAAGGCAATTTGTGTATGTACTATCTTTCCACTTTCTTTCATTAGTCTTTTTATTTAGGATATCGTACGAAGCGCAGGACCAAGGTATAGACACGGATTTATCCATTTACATTAAATTGGGATTAGATAGTTGTGACATGGTTGAAATAGATGAATTTACATTGACATGGCTATTTTATTATATTCTGCTGACCATGCTTAATCTTTTACATAAAAACCTGTGCTTTAGGGACATAAATTAGCTACCGATAGGTTACAGTATGTGCAAAATAGGACAGACGACAGTTTTCATCGGCTGCATATGCAACAAGACGCCATATTTCCGGGAGAAGTTCACGGACCACCTGGTCCCCCAGGACCTCCAGGACCCCCTGGGCCACCGGTGCATTACGATTTATTATAATATTTGTATGATTTTACTTTAGTTTTAGGGTATCAAGGGTCATAGAGGCTATCCTGGATTTCCGGTATGCCTGTGATTGAAATTTAAATTGATTTTCTGTCATCGTATATTTTGAATTTCAGGGTCCGATTGGTCTCGACGGTCCGAAAGGAGACATGGTACGTTGCATAACTTGCATAACTATAGTAAATGAGCTGATGAATTAACTTTAGGGTCCTCTCGGTATCAAAGGCGAAAAAGGCGATATCGTAAATTTCTTAATTGCTATTCCCATGATTTCTAATTCTTCGTTTAGGGACCGATTGGTCTTCCAGGTCAGCGTGGTCCAGTAGGCCCGCCGGGAAAGAGCGTAATTTGTCAGTGTTGTTTCGTATCATAAATGACCAATTCCGTTTCAGGCAGCATCTGGTTTATTCCCGCGTGATTATCGATTTATGTCTAGGGTAAGTTGCAGAAACTGTCACGTATGAAGATCATTAATCACTGTCAAACTTTTGTCAGTGCCAAGTCTGAAAAGTCCCTAAATCGCCATCAGATGGACAAACATCTGGCGTAGTGTCTAAGAGGTAGGTTTCGAACTCCGGAGGTCCCGGAAATCGAATCCGACTGAAGGCAATCTTTGTCGTAACCACGAATTCCCTTCAGCAAGAATTCCTATCAGATGTAGTTTCAGACCGTGATTGCTCAGTTGTTAGAGGTTGGTTCAAAACTAGGAGCTCCCGGGTTCGAGTCCCGGTGGACGACTTACATTTCTTCCTTCCGAGGCTGATAAACGAGAACCACTCTGTGGGAAGGAAACAGAAATTTGCAGATTATTCCCGCCACATAGCTGCTGTCAATTTTATCTTTAAACTGAGGTACTTTTGGATGATAACATGAAAATGGAGATCAGGACTCCCGCATTAGAGTCATATCAATTGGGTGTCAAAATGGCAACATCATGAACGTTTAAGAAAGACCAATATTTTGGCGGCTACACACTTTCCTTTCCTTCACGACCATCAAAAACAATGTGGACTGTCGTTTTCATTGAATAAAATTCGTTTCTCTGATGGATAATCCAGCGTTATGATTATTTTCATAAATGAAATGATATCATTAGAGGCATGAGTTTTAAAAGGATTATCAATTTTTGGGGTGTACACCTGCGTTGATGTGTCTTATTGGAGAAGAAAAATCTGAATCTAGCTGCCATTAGACAGTCGTTTATAAGAGCAGATGCTCACGTCTCATTTTCGTCAGAGCAGTAGAAGTAACAATTGTTAAGAGACCATAGTTTGTTCGTTCCATGAGCATAACACTGGTCACGCAGAAAACCTTTGGTTGTTTTCTTCCATTAAATTTTTGAAACAAAACCTTTCAGCTTTATTTTAATATTAGTCAAGACACGATTCGGGGATTTAGTCAACTCTGTTATATCGAATAATTTAGAAATATAGTTAATATTTAGCCCATCTCACGATTGCACGGGCTTGGTTCTCTCTATTTGATGCCAAGCTTAGATAGAGCGCAGAATCGCATTGCGCATTTACAGTTATTTTGGATAAGACCTTTCAGGAAGTTCGTCATGTCATGCTGAAAAGCCAAGACAATACAGGGCAGAGTTTATTTATTTCAGTCTCGTAAACAGCTGCGGCATACACAGAGAATAGCTAGGCATTTCCGAAATAACGCTCGCCCCTTTCGGACTTGGGCTATGTATGAGATGTGGCAGGGCTTGATGTCACGATACCCACATGATAGCTGGGATTGCCATGATTTTTTAAAACAAAGGAAATTCTTTGAAGCTACTATAGATCTGCCTGGCTG